ATATGTATGTGTTTGTATTATTAGGTTGATTTGAATATATTGTCGTTTGTGTTTGCAAAATGAAATTGGTGTTCGATCGAGGCTTAGATTGCTTAAATTGGTTGGGGAAGAGGATGATTCGATGCTGCATGGAGAAATTGGAGAATCTGGGGTTAAGTCTATTTTAGCGAATAATGTTAGATTGGCTATGCGGATTAATAAAATGAATAAACTCCATTTTGGTGAATTATTGTTTGGACGAATTGGATCTTTGAAACAAAAATCTTGGATTTATTACAGGTAGAGGCATAATTAAGGATGATTTGGGATTTTTGATGAAATACTGATGGATTGTTTTCCCCTAGGTTTTAACATGAAGGTCCTGAGAGACTGTATTAAGTTTGCCCATTGAAAATTTCATTTGAATTCCCAATTATTTAGTTTAAATCATATGGTTTATTAACTATTGAAACCACCTTTGAGCCATTCATGAACTGTTTAGGAGCATAATTCATTAAAATCGAAGTCTCAATGTTATGTGGTGGGTTGTGGTGGGGAGATTGAGAGGTTAGAGAGAGAGTAGAAAAAAAAACTGAGGGATAAAGGAGATTGAGACGTTAGAGAGAGAGTAGAAAAAAAACTGAGGGCAAGTGTTTAAGGGGTATTTTTGTTCAAAATATAATTTTTTTAATAGACATCAGTTAATATACCTCTTTATGATAGTTGAGGGTGTTTTTTTGTTCAAACAATTTATAAAGAGAATTTTTTACTAATAGGTGAAAGTTAAAGGAGGTTTTTTTACCATTGGTCCTAAAATAAATAACAATGCTGTAATAATACTACTTAATAATATTCCGTATGAAGTAACATCAACTCTCGCGTGACTGAAAGCGCACTTCATGGTAAATTACAAGTTTACAACTGCAACACTGCACTTTGGCAGTTTTGACTTTGGAGTGTAACTTGCATGTGCACATCATGTGACTTGACAACACACATTATTATATATCATTTGGAAAATATTGACTCATAATTGACCCAAAAAAAAAAAAAAATTAATAAACCATATTTTTTTATACCCGAGTTCATAGATAGCCAAATGAATCAAGTTGTTCATTAACAGCTTTCAAGTTTGGCTCGTTTAAAGTTTAACTTGGATTCGTTCCCTAAACAAACGAGCTAAATTCAAGTTAGGTTTTTTGGCTTATTTAGTAAACATGTCAATTCTAAACAATATTGGGTTCGACTCGTGTTGGCTCGTATATGTTCGTTAATAAGTTCATAAACATCAACTTGTATAAGTTTATGAAGGTAAGCTCATGAATATGTTTGCATAAATTCATATAGGCTTGTTTATGTTGATGAACAAGCTAAACAATCTTAAATACGAATTTAAATCAAACTTGAATGACTTTTTTTTATCAACAACCAGAGCCTTACCGAATTTAGGTTTTTCAAAATAATGCCGAGCTAAATCCAAGCTTGTTACGATCCCGAGTTGAACCCACAAGCAAATAAGCTGAGTCAAAACACGTTACAATCTCGAGCCTAACTCACAAATAAAAAAGCTGAGTTCGAACAAGTTTAAGCTCAAACTCAGTTGATTTATTATTTGGAGCGCCTAATTAAAAAAAGTATATGCCCCTCAGATTATGTTCAACTGAAAGTTGATATATGATAGCAAATCTTGCTAATTGACCCTTTTATTGGGTTGGTTTTCATATAATGAATTTCTTCTAGTTTGATTGAATCATTTAGGAGCCGTAGTTGGGTATAAATGTGCCCATTCTCAGTCCTTGTTTGTTATCTCATTCTCCGATATTCTGTGCATTTTTCAACCTCAACCATGAGATTGTGAACTAGTCCTTGTATGATCGTTTCAATATTGAAGTATGAAACTGGCCTAGTTACTGCAGTTTTTAAGTTGAACTTGTTTGCTTCTTGTGGAGCCATTTAAATACCACGTGTTCTTGTGGTAAACTTGTCTCGTCATTTCAGTTTGGATGTTAATTTGAATGCTCAAGTTAGAGGTGGGACTGGCGTTGTGATTAATCTAATGAAGTCCTAATTAGAAGCTAGTCTAAGTTAACCATTTTACAAATTTTGAAACATGACATGTATGAACCCGTCAACGCCGAAGGTTTGGACCAGTCCTTGTAGGGTTCACGTTTATCTGGCTCTGATGTGAGGGATATAAAAACTAGTAATATAGTGAACTTAACGCATTACCCAGAAGTTTAAATTAATGCATTGTGGGCTATAAATTAATCCTTTTTTTGGATGTCCAATTTTTAAGAGTTTGAACTTTGAACTCGTCAAATTGGTGGTCAAAAATGTTTTAAAGAATTCCTTGCCACTTGAATGAGACGTTCCTAGCAACTTGGGGTTCTGATTTGGAATGTTTACCCATGATTGAGGTATGATTCGATATTTAGATGTAATGAAGTGGATGCAAGTGTTGGTCCATGTTCGGAACTTCGGAATGAGTGTTCAAGTTTAAAGTACATGAGAACCCTTTCTTAGCCCAACTCATTAGGTCTTCCATTTAGATTGAAATGAATGGATTTATATATTCAATCATTTGAAGGGTTACAGCATTAATTTAGAGAATAATTTAGATTTATGGTTTTTTTTTTTTTTCATTAGATTTATGGTTTAAAATGTGTATAAGCTGATTGGAGAGGCATATATGTTTGAATTTTAATATTAAAAACCTTTCATACCCATTTCAATAAGTAATTTATATATATATATATATATATTTAATATTTCTAAACTCGAGTCCTTCCTTTCAAATTTGTTAAGGTGGCTTGCATATTTATTTTGCAATTGCGCCGGTTGCAGACGTCCAACAAACATCAAGGCGTACCACGTGGAAGAAAAAATATTCTCATTTTTGTATTGTCCAGTAGATATTTTTTTACATGATAAGTAACTCACTGAAAAAAAACAAAAACAAAAAAGTAACCCAAACCTTTTTATTTTTTATTATCTTAACCAACCTCCAACCTTCCACGTTTCACTTTATAAGGTAGATAATTAGTGTACAATTTTGACCCCTCATTCTTTTTACATTTACGTAGATAAAGTGTTTGATAAGGGTGTGCTTATCATGATTCGTATTCTCATTATTGGTTGACATATAAAAAAGATTCGGGACTTAAGAAACACGGAGTGCTTAATAAATACAAAAAAAGGATCTACGAACACTTTTTTTTAGGATATTTAGGGTATTATGGTAGCGTCGAACAAGAGGACAAGTTGGACTCGATTAAAAATATAATGAAATTTAAATATTTTTATTTTTTGATTGGACAGGGACATATTTTGAGCTCTTTGAAGACATGATGAGGTGATTTTGTAATTATTTTTTTTTACAAGAAAGAGATTCAATATAATTTAGCATATATTAAGAGTTAATTAAAATAATAATATAAATTTTAAGAAAGCAAAAATAATAATTTGTGATGTATAATAATAATATTTACTATTTTAAAATATAAATTTTTAAATTTATTGTATTATCATCGTGTTCATATCATATCATACGATTTACGTAGCTTCACACTGAATGCTTCGTCAATTTCATCAGCTTGTGTTTAGAAATTCAGCCAATTGTGCATGTGCACCTGTATAAAACTATAGATAATTAGTGGGCAGCGTTGGAATGACATAAAACTGTACTTGCTAATGCAAGCCAAAGAATTTGAGTGCGCTCTTGTTGTGTAGTGTGAAACGATATTTATTAGCATGTGAATGTGACAATAAATATTATAGTATAAAGGTTGGAAGGTAATGGTTGTATTGATGTGGTGCACATGCCCCATCATCCCCATCTTATTTTACTAACCAAACATACTTTAATGGGCTTTGCTTAGTCCCCACCTTGTCTCTTTAAAATGTTAAAAGAAGGAAAATGGGAACACTGATTGATCGGTTTTTCTTTATTTTTTTATTTTTAAAATTTTTATGTTTATTAATTTACTCCCAACAAGAAACACGGTCAAAATGTAGTAATTCGGTTGTTGCCAAACGTTTGACTTGGGTGGCTAAACTTAGCAAGGAATCTATCGATTCTAATTTGTCGCAAAAGGTGATCTAACTTGCTTTGTGGACCATTATTAGTAAAACTTAGGAAGGAACCTATTCATTCTAATTTGTAACAAAAGGGTCATCCAACTTCCAATTGGACCGTTATTATCACTTTTGTCAATCACCAATTATATTACCTTTCCCCCCCCCCCCCCAAAAAAAAAAAAAAATTAATAATAAAGTAAAATTTTGCACCTCTAATAAGGGGATCTCTAAGAAAAAGTAAATAATAATAATAATAAAAATGAATATAAAAAAACATATTGAGTTTGGATTGCGATTTGTCAAGTAGCTTTGGAATGGGTTTGGGATGCGTTCAGAGCAAGAAAAAAGGTGAATAGTGTAAATAAGTTAGTTTTTGTTGTTAAAGAAAAGTCACTCACATTGAAATTAAAAACGGTTGGTTCGAGTAACAATATGTCAGCAGTTAGAATGATTGCTGGAGAATGAAAAACTTGATCAAATAATGACCGGCGACTTATATTTGCCTCCCTTTGAAGCAATCGAGAAATTCAGTGTTAGACTCGAAATGGGTGAAAATGGTGGTGCGTCACTTTCACTGTGCTAACATTACAGTTCGGTTGTTGATTCTGTTTCTAGAAATAAGAGAACGGTAGAGACAGATTTGATTCACAGTGTGAGGTCAAATTTTTTTATTTCTTTTTTGGTGTTAATGATTAGAGAGGAGGATCGAATACGGATTCACATATAGAGAATAATCCAACCACTCAGGCAACAGAGCACTTGCATTTTAAACTTAATCACCGTAAAGATTAGCTTTCCTTGTGTCAATGATTTTTTCCTTCTTGCCTTTGATAAAGTTAAATGAAAAAAATGAATTCATGTTATTAACTCCAAATTGTGGAAATCTGTTCATTGACTAGATTTTCACTTGCTGGACAAAGGGATCAGTTCAAAGCTCAAACAAATGTGAACACATGAAGGAATGCTCTTTAACCATCAAGACTGTTCTTACGAGAAACTATATTGTCCAATCATAATACATACCTTCAAGGACTGGTTAATGTAGCAAATTAGACCAACATATATATATATATATATATTGAACCTATTTCATAGAAACTAACAAACTTGACGGATTATTACTCTTTTACAAAATTTCTTGGCATGCTTTAGCCAATGTTGACAACAAAAAGCAACTTCCACCACTGACCTCTTTATGTGTTGCAGTTGCTTTGAATTTCAGTACAAGTTTCCCTCAGCACCTTCTTCATCATCGTCACATTCCTGCTACCAACATTGCAACTATTTCCACTGAGCCCACATCAAACCATGTATGTTGGTGCAGATTTTTATCATGCATTTTGTTTTTCTTGCTTCATAAGTCATATAAATTCCCCAAAAGCTGCATAATAAATACCTTAAGAGTTAGCACCAAGGAGAATGAAAATTTTAAAAAGTTCCAGTGACCTAGTATTGAACAATCATAAAACACAATTTGAGAATCAAAATAGGATCAAATTTCTCTTGTTTGACTCATGTTAGTTAGAAGTTTCGGTACAAATATGCGAGTTCCTTCACACATGAAGGGCCAAGAGAGAAATATATATATATACAAACCTTTCACAAATATGAGTGCATGTATGCATATGATGGAGCTATAAATTTACACAAGTCTGCATATTCATTATATATTAGTACATGTATTTGAATTCTACAAGTAACAATACAAGTAATAAGTAAAAATATAATAGGATTTTTCAAAAAATTATAATTATAATTATAATTATTTTTATAAGTAAAAGCGTAAAACAATTATAATTTAGGAGGTAACACAAGTAAAATTTATCCATCATCAAACCAAAGTGGTTTTGGTGGGTTTTTTTATTATAAAAAAAATCGCTAATCTCCTAAGAATTGCATCAACTTTGTATAACAGCTACATGTCATATTATAGTATTAGAAATTGTTGAGTTATTAATAGTTAAGAGTGTTTAGCAAACACTGAAAGCCATCATCTTTGGCACCTAGAAAAGCTACAAGGGGTTCTCCACCCAAGAGCTTGCCTTTTTAGCTGTTTGATCATAGAAAATCATGAGATCTACATTATTTCCATTCCAATGCACAGATTCAACGCTCCCAAACATAGCTTTAAGTTATTTCCATTTTTCGCATTCGATTTCATTATAAGACTTAAGAATACTCTAATCGGTGAGTGCATCATCTCAATAATACGAGACAGACTTGATGGCACATATGTATTTATGTGCGTGTAAAAAGAGTTCCATTACCAGAATCTGAATCATTAGGTCCTGGAGATGCTTCAGGGTGGTACTGAAGAGACATGAGTTTTAGTTGAGGAAACGCAAGACCATCACAGCTTCCATCATTGAGATTGACTTGAGTCACTTCCACACCCTCGGGAAGTGATGCAGGGTCAACAGCATAGTTATGATTCTGCCACAAAGTGAATTTTTAAATTGAAGATAGAATACAAATACAAGAATAGTTGGGCATGTCATTGAATTTCAAGAAATCAACTAAATGGTACAATCAAGATTCTACTACAAATCTATCCCAATAGCAAGTTAGAAAAAAGGAGAATCTCAAAGGAAGTATCAGATTAGTGGACAACTCTTTGTTACCCAATTATTAATGAAGCCAAACTAAAATACGCTAACATATTGACAACTTGAGAGAAAATTGTAGCATCATATTTGAATTTCTTCAGATTTAATTTGACACAAATTTTTCTTGGTAATTACCAGTTAACTATGTTATAATATGGGGGTATTGTTGTGTAACGACCCTAAACTAAAATCATTTATACAAAAATTTCGGCATGACCTCCCCTAAAAGTGGTCCTTCAACAACCTGTCCCAATACACAAAACAAAAAAATATACTCCAGCATCCCATTCATTACACCTCAACATAGTTCCTCTCATGGTAGAACATGCACACACCAATTAATCCAAATTATCATAATTACAGTCCCAAAATACATGGTTAAGATCTAAAGTCCATGTCTTACAACGTTACATGATACAATTACATGGAAATATATACCATGATTCCATTAGTTTCATTTACATTAAACAAAAGATAAGTTCGTTCTTAAATTACAAGGCCATGGATACTAACTTAGTTACATTTCCACAACTATGAATATACATAGAATGGTCAAAATACAAAATAGCAAACAACCTTTTAACAACTTTCAAGTTTGCGGAGGATTGTCATCCGCCGTTGCTTTGCCATGACCTGAAAAAAATAATAAGTATGCAGGGTGAGCTATATGCTCAGTAGGTGACATTTAAGACACGCATCTTTTGTCCCCGTGAATCCAAACATAGAATAGGTCAATGGGAATGGGGATCATACAATATCGGGATAATACAACATTCCAATCAAACTCAAGTACAAACAATGCAATGCCATGAAATGCGAATGCATGCCGATGTCGCTCCCCGTTTCCACATTTAAAATCCATCTCTTTCAAACTGTTAATATAACCCGCCCTTTGGTGACCCGCAGCGACACGAGAGGACGATTGGCTAGTGTCCCTGACCCTTAGTAACCCCGCGGCGTCATTATGGGGCCTAGCTAGCTCAACCACGCTAGGGCGGCTCCCTAGTCCCCTCTAGGCTATATTAACACTCCGGCCCTTTGGTACCCCTGCGGCGACTGGGTTTTCCAAAAACACTTTCATCAAAATACTTTTCCCCAAAACTCCCTATTTTCATTTCAAAAACAATCTTCCCAATCATGTCTCATGGTATGCATGTACATCATATTCTTAATGCCATGGAAGTGAAAGCTTTCACATTATACAATTGTGCATACATTACAAGTTCTCTAGGGAAATTACACATGCCATCCCATATCATTCTAGCAAGTTTTACAACAATATAAGCATGGTAAATCAATTTATCAGACAAGGAAATTAGTCAAATAAACATGTTCTCATACAACTCAAGTAACACATTTAATCATAACCTCACATATAACACTTACATCATCTTTAATACAATTAATTCAAAAATAAGCATGCTTTTCAACAATTTAAGAGGTATAATTCACAAAAGAGCAAGAACATCATGAGTTAAGGGCCCCTACCTCAAGATTGCACAAAACCCTTAAAATGGGTCTTGAATTTCGAACTCCAAGGAGAGGCTAAAAGCTGGAATTTCTGGTACTAGCACGTAGAGCTCGTCGTGCTCGTCGTTTTGCCTCAAACGGCACCTAAATCCGCCAAGAATTGAGAGAAAAATCAAGGATTGAAGCTTGAAACCATAAAAAGAAAAAAAAAAGCCCAGAGAGCTTCTGGAATGAGAGAGAGACTGATACGCAGAGAAGAAGAAATATGACATTATATTGGCTTATAAATCATGTGGGCCCCACAGGTGAATTAAAGTTTTATTTAACTTTAACATATATATATATATATATATATATATATATATATATATATAAAGTTAAAAACATTACAAGTTGGAAATTTAAAAGGAAAAAAATATATTGTTGAAGCAGTCTCTAAATATTGCAGGGATTCGATTCAAGAAATACAACTGGAGAGTTTTTCGACCTCATTTTATTTTTTATTTTTATTTTTTCTGATTTCATGGTGGTGATGGTGGTGGTAGGGAGCCACCCCAACCCCCAACCAACAAACCCACCACACCTACCCCACCCACAAACAAAATGCCATTGATCTCTGCTTGGAAAAATCTAGGTGTTGTGCATGCATATGTGAAATCGTACAATGGTATCAATAGAGTTTCTTAAGCAAACACACTTGAGCACTTATCTCAACAAGGTTTTTCCTAAGGTTACGGACTGGATGATTTCCTTCATGGTGACCAAATTTCATTTTAAAGGTTTTACCACCCAATGCCTGACCAAGCAACTGATGCCCCATGCAAATTCCAAAAACAGGAACCTTTCCAATTATATCCCTGACTGTTTCAACAGCATACGGAACAGCAGATGGATCTCCTGGGCCATTGCTGAATATGACTCCATCTGGTTTCATCTTTAGAGTCTCTGACGATGGCCATGTTGAAGGGACAACAGTGATTTTACATCCATAGGATGCCAAGCGCCTCAGTATATTATGCTTGATACCGAAATCATATGCAATGACCTCTATTCAAACACAAATAAGGGTGGATGAATTCCCAGATTATGAGTATATTTCTTGTAGTTCCATAAAAATTACTAGATAAATACTAACATGGAAGGTCTCTCCATCTCTCCCCTTGGAATTAAAATCCCACTCTGGATCTGTATTATCACTCCAATGATAAGGGGCTTTGCAGGAGACACCACTTATTAAGTCCACACCTGTAACATTAATGCAAGCAAACCAAGGATGACTATTCTCTGCAGTGTACTAAAGTTCCAAACACCCTAAAAAGCTGGAATAAATCCTTACCAACAATGTCCCAAGTACGAGACATTTCTACAAGTTCCTCATCTGATTTAACTTCGTCTGTGCTGAGTACACCTATAAGGCTTCCATCTTGTCTCAATCTTCGGGTAATTGCACGTGTATCAACATCATCTGTTGCATAATGGAAGAGCAACAAGCCAAGGGAAGGTCAAAAAATGTTCAAAAACCAAAGTTAAAAAATACACCAACAATTTCTTTTTAAGTAAAGTAGAGTCTATGATGCAAAATATAACTTAAATATTCCCATAATGTTCCTTTCTGCTAAATAATCACCAAGTGTTTTTGTGCTTCTCCAATTTGAAGTACTGAAAGAACATTTGTCAGAAAACTAAATATATATGTTCGCAATTCTAAAAAGGTTTTAAGTGGAAAACAAGCACATTAGTCAAGCCACATGGATAGAAGTCAACATACCTGATACTAAACTTCTTATTACCAAACCACCGAGGAAGCACTGTCTTGATTCTTCATCATCTGACATGCAAGGCATCCTAATTCAGATTCCACATAGTTTCCAAGATAATTTGTAAAACTATGAATGAAAAATATTACCCACCAAAATTAACACCGGTATTGCCAATATGAGGGTTTGTCATCAAGACAAACTGGCCAGCGTAACTAGGGTCTGTAAGAATCTCCCGATACCTGCAATATGACACAATAAATCATACATGATATCTGATCAGGCAAAACCAGTCAACTCATCAGGGTTTTTTTTTCCGTCCTCTCTTGGTGAATGTAAACTCTTGGTGAACACAGCTGGTTGTTTTCTTGGCTTTATTATTAATGCCATTTCTTTCTACTGGAAGAAAGAAACAGAGTAATAAAATAATCACTAAGCTGATTTTAATTCCCACTGAACGAGTAAAGTCCCTGATCAGTTTAGTTCCCATAAATTTATGGGCAACCTAATATGACTTAACTACCAAGGGCTGTGTTGCCTAGTGATATCTCCTCACCTTCTAGAGTAGAAAGTGGAGAGTTCAAATCTCAATAGGAGCAAAGGTGAGTGAGTGTGTTTCTAGCCTTGAGAATACACACACACACACACACACATGACATAACTCTACAAGATATCAGCCACCCATGGAAGGAACCATATGAAATTGCTAGAGGTTTCATGACTTATATTGAAAATACACCTATAGAACTGTACTGTCTAGCTAGGCTAGATCATGTTTTAGTTTTTGTTCTTCTTCTTTCTTTTTTTTTTTATTATTTTTTATTTTTTTTTTTAATTTTAAGTCTAAACTTTCTAGTTATATAACATAGTTGATACCCAAGTGAACACAAGCAGAATCCACAACTAGGAATATGTTTCACTTCCGTTCCACATTACAATATTAGTGACCCAGATAATCTCTTCCTACTAGTCTCCTTGTTTGTCCCTTCTATAGAGCAACAAAAGAAGATTATCTGGGAGTCTGGAACTTTATAGTGACCCCATACCTTTTTAGATTTAAAATTAACTTACATTTTTTTTAGTATGGGAATAGATCTAACCAGATGCTGAAAATAAACAGATTATATAGGAATTCGTAAGGAAATGTTTTCTAAGTCATCTTCCCCTAATTAAAAGAAATATAATATTTTATCGTATTTGAAACTAGCTCCTGGTATAACTAGACTAAAAAGCTCAGTGTGTCCTTCTGAATATTGAAGGGAGACATGGAAATAATTTTTACTGTGATGATAAAATAAGTGATCAATATTCTTCAATATTCATTTCATTTTCTAAAAGGACTAATATCTAGCAAGTGAGAACAACATAGAATCATAAAGAATTATGTTGTTTTCAGACAAAAACCAATGTGAACCAATTACGGCAGAGGGCAGGTGGTCGGTTAGATACAATTATTATTCACTTCCCCGTAGAATATCAATTGATCATCCAATTCATAGAGTAAACTTCACAAAAAGAATAGAAGCACACACATTATTTAAGTTAATTCACTTCAGTTTCACTGGGAATTTCCCAAGTCATTCTTCCTCATATTTGTCTACAACCATGTTCGTCAATTGTTGTCACTCGTGCTGTTCTTAAATGTACCTATCCAACATTTTATAGTATACATCTTATGTCTGGATATTGTCTCAAAAAGTTTATTTTCTCCTCCCCAAACTCTTCCTAGAGGGCTAAAATCACCGTTCCTAGTTGTTACTTTGGTAACCATATACACACACATATGTTACTAACCTTATACTCCGACTTCCATTTGAAACACTTCAAAATTTTCAATGAAACCAAAATTAAACTCACTCCACATGTTTAGCAAGGGCTTTACTAAATGAAAAGCTGAACAATTTGCACCGGATTTCAACTACAATGCATTAAGTATTTTTTATCAATATATATAAATATATTATACTAACAAAATACAAAGGCACGGTTTCAAATATCTCATCAAAGTGTGTAACAACCCATTCCACCACATGGTATGATATTGTCCGCTTTGGGCCTGAGCCCGCACGGTTTTGTTCTTGGGCTTCACCCCAAAAAGCTTCATACCAATTGGAGGTGACACACTTACATATAAGCACTTCACCTTTCCTCTACCCAAGCGATGTGGGACTGTGCACTCGTAGCTCGCCAGTGTGGTAGCCTGACAGTGTCTCTCGCACCCGCCCACAGGGTCATCACAATCCACCCCCCTTGGAGGCCCGACGTCCTCGTCGGCACACTTCCGGCTGGGTCAGACTCTGATACCAATTATAACGACCCACTCCACCACATGGTATGATATTGTCCGTTTTGGGCCTAAGCCTGCACGGTTTTGCTCTTGTGGGCGGGTGTGCCGTGGGCGGGTGCGAGAAACACTGTCAGGCTACTACACTGGCAAGCTACGGGTGTATAGTCCCACATCGCCTCGGTAGAGGAAAGGTAAAGTGCTTATATGTAAGTGCATTATCTCCAATTGGTATGAAGCCTTTTGGGGTGAAGCCCAAGAGCAAAACCATGCGGGCTCAGGCCCAAAGCGGACAATATCATACCATGTGGTGGAGTGGGTCGTTACAAATGGTATCAGAGTCTGACCCAGCCAGAAGTGTGCCGACAGGGACGTCGGGCCTCCAAGGGGGGTGGATTGTGATGACCTTGTGGGCGGATGTGCCGTGGGCGGGTGCGAGAGACACTGTCAGGCTACCACACTCGCAAGCTATAGGTGCACAGTCTCACATCGCTTGGGTAGAGGAAAAGGTGAAGTGCTTATATGTAAGTGTGTCACCTCCAATTGGTATGAGGCCTTTTGGGGTGAAGCCCAAGAGCAAAATTGTGCGGACTCAGGCCCAAAGCGAACAATATCATACCACACAGTCTCACATTGCCTGGGTAGAAGAAAGGTGAAGTGCTTATATGTAAGTGTGTAACCTCCAATTGGTATGAGGCCTTTGGGGTGAAGTCCAAGAGCAAAACCGTGCGGGCTCAGGCCCAAAGCGGACAATATCATACCATGTGGTGGAGTGGGTCGTTACAAATGGTATCAGAACTTGACCCAGCCGGAAGTGTGCCGACGAGGACGTCGGGCCCCCAAGGGGGGTGGATTGTGATGACCTTGTGGGCGGATGTGCCGTGGGCGGGTGCGAGAGACACTGTCAGGCTACCACACTGGCGAGCTACGGGTGTATAGTCCCACATCGCCTGGGTAGAGGAAAGGTGAAGTGCTTATATGTAAGTGCATCATCTTCAATTGGTATGAGGCCTTTTGAGGTGAAATCCAAGAACAAAACCGTGCGAGCTCAGGCCCAAAGCGGACAATATCATACTATGTGGTGGAGTGGGTCGTTACAAATGGTATCAGAGCTTGACCCAGCCGGAATTATACCGACGGGGACGTCGGGCCTCCAAGGGGGGTGGATTGTGATGACCTTGTGGGCGGGTGTGAGAGACACTGTCAGGTTACCACACTCGCGAGTTACAGGTGCACAATCCCACATCTGTTTATATGTAAGTGTGTCACCTCCAATTGGTATGAGGCCTTTTGGGGTGAAGCCCAAGAGCAAAATCGTGTGGGTTCAGGCCCAAAGCAGGTAATATCATACCATGTGGTGGAGTGGGTCGTTACAAAGTGATTTTGTAAATTGTTTATTACAGCATTAACCAATATCTTACAAATATGAATAATTCCTTAATAGTTTTCATGGTCCCAGAATCATTCTAATGTCATAGGTACACTTACACCCAACATGGTAACAGGTGTGAGCCAAGGTTCTTCAGAAGCCCATCTTCTACCACCAACTAGTTTCCCAAGAATTTGGCATCAACAATACATTGTTAATGTCATGTCAAGAGCCAGTCATGTAACAATTTCAAAACTTGATGGATCATACTACGATCTGTGAAACAGAAAAAATAGTTGACATTGAGGATTTTCCTTTCATTTCTGTGTTCATGAATGACCTGCTGCACCATCTGTTCAGAATTTCATTTACAATATGTACAATATTTCTTTGACCAAGTATGATATGAAGCAAAATGTAATCGATTTTTTTATATATAATTATGACAATAAATCCATAACTAATACACTATTAACCAAATATATCATACATGTGAATGATAACCTATTGTTTTCAAGGTCCAAGTATCATTCCAAGAACTACCCTGGATATGGGTCAGCCAAGGTTCATTGTAATTCCAACTCCTACAATAAACTGGCTTTATCTAGTATTCGGCATCAATCATAGAGGCTTTGTGTATTATCATCATGTCAAAAGTCAATCACATAGGATTTCAAATCTTGACAGACCATAAAATGATCTGAAGCCGAATGAAATAGTTGGAGTTAAAAGTTTATGGTTTCAGTAACTTGATAATAATAAAATGACAGTGCATCTGTCTCCATCTCAACTTCCCTTACTTTCCTTGTAAAATTTATTGTTCTCATGACTTATCCCTTACCTGCCATTGTTGCCAACTAACTAATTCCAGTGTTAATGACGCTAAATAATTTGAAATTTATTCTTACCAATTTTTTTTTTTTGACAAGTATTCTTACCAAAAAAATAAATAATAATAATTTGAATATCATCCATGCGGGCACTTCTCTGTAAATGATTAACAAATCAAACACTTGTTTACACGACCCATGCATCTGCATGCCCTCAATAGCAGCTTTGGCACTTAATACACATGGCTTTTATTTTTTAGTCAATGTGTGCAATGAATGCATGCAATATGCAAAAAAAATTACATGGTAATCCTAGAAATTTAACCACTCCATTTATAATTTGATCGCTTATGATGCATTAATGCCCAGAGATACAAGTTCTATTTTCTTGCGATAAGGCCAAATTTTTTCACTTTAATTATGTTCATGTCTCCATCTATGTGCAATACATGACATAGCCTCACAGATGGTACCACAACTTATTTCAGATCAAAACATAACCACAAATGACTGCTAGATTATAGAGGCAATTTTCTGGAGGGATCCCAATATATTAATTATATATTCAGAACAAAATATGCCAAGTTCGTCTAAAGATTCCAATTAACACTGCAAGTCAATGGAAGAATACTCTATGGACAATTTTGAATCCAAAGTAAACAAATAAGCAGAGCATCAAACACTCAAACAATGAGAATGGCATTATACCAGCTCCACCCTTTTTTTGGTGTTACATGAGACCAGAACACACCATTATGATATGAAGAGAAGAATATAAGTTCACAAATTACACATATGAAAGAAACTAAAATCATCTCACCCCGTTAAAGATGTATTGAAAACCACTTCACCAATTTGGGTTCCTGAAGCACCAAATGACTTCGCCCTCCAAATAGAACCATCTTCCAGGACAAGTCTGGCATCTGCTACCTTCCAAGGTCTTTCTCCCAAGCCTAAGGATTATCCAGAAAATTTTGCATTGCACTCAAAGATATAGAGAGCGCCAAGGAGATCAACAAGTACTGCTATTTCTAGAGAATTAATTGACAGCAAGAAGTTTCAAAACAAAAAATTGCAAAAAAAGAACATGTATTTGCAAGGAGAAGCCAACATTGCAATACCCATATCTTAAAAGAAAAATAAAGAGACAAAACCAAGAAGTAATGAACAACTAAACTAGTTTCCTCTGAAATGGAGTGGCATAAAGCTGATGAGTAAGGATGCAATTTCCATGCACAGCATGCCCAAGCTAATTTGGGGTGGAGGCCCTATTTCAGTTCTTCAAGAAACCCTAATTATAATCAATTATTATCAACTGTCCAAAAGGTTGGAGAGAAGGCCATATAGCTGAAATATGCTCTGCTGGACCAAGTCACCTAAGTTCTGTGAACTTGAGACATACAAGAGATAAAGGAAATGTGACTCCCATTAATCTGATTCCAGTGGCAGATGAATTTAGTTTTCATCCACAAGCAATAATATACAGATTAAAAATCCCTTATCTGATCTACATAAATCTTAACTATAAATACACACACAAGAACGAAAAATAATCAAGTAGAATTATAAGTAAGCATTTTTACTGAAAAAAAATTACGGAGAAGAAATGAATATTCCATCAAACTATTGCACAAAGATATGCCCACATTCATAAAAATTAACAAATGTATACATACATTCTTTTACAGGCATAATATATATTGTAACGACCCACTCCATCACATGGTATGATATTGTCCGCTTTGGGCCTGACCCCGCACGGTTTTGCTTTTGGGCTTCACCCCAAAAGGCCTCATACCAATTGGAGATGACACACTTACATATAAGTACTTCACCTTTCCTCTACCCAGGCGATGTGGGACTGTGCACCCGTAACTCGCCAGTGTGGTAGCCTGACAGTGTCTCTCGCACCCGCCCACGGCACACCCGCCCACAAGGTCATCACAATCACTGTAACGACCCACTTCATCACATGGTATGATATTGTCCGCTTTGGACCTGAGCCTGCACGGTTTTGCTCTTGGGCTTCACCCCAAAAGGCCTCATACCAATTGGAGGTGACACACTTACATATAAGCCTTCACCTTTCCTCTACCCAGGCGATGTGGGACTGTGCACTCGTAGCTCGCCAGTGTGGTAGCCTGACAGTGTCTCTCGCACCCGCCCACAGCACACCCGCCCACAGGGTCATCACAATCCACTCCCCTTGGAGGCCCGACGTCCTTGTCGGCACACTTCCGGTTGGGTCAGGCTCTGATACCATTTGTAAAGACCCACTCCACCACATGGTATGATATTGTCCGCTTTGGGCCTGAGCCCACACGGTTTTGCTCTTGGGCTTCACCCCAAAAGGGGTCATACCAATTAGAGTTGACACACTTACATATAAGTACTTCACATTTCCTCTACCCAGGCGATGTGGGACTGTGCACCCGTAGCTTGCCAGTGTGGTAGCCTAACAGTGTCTCTCGCACCTACCCACGGCACACCCGCCCATAAGGTCATCACAATCCACCCCCCTTGGAGGCCCGACGTCCCCGTCGGCACACTTCCGGCTGGGTCAGGCTCTGATACCAACTGTAACGACCCACTCCACCACATGGTATGATATTGTCCACTTTGGGCCTGAGCCCGCACGGTTTTGCTTTTGGGCTTCACCCTAAAAGGCCTCATACCAATTGGAGGTGACACACTTACATATAAGCACTTCACCTTTCCTCTACCCAGGCGATGTGGGACTGTGCACTCGTAGCTCGCCAGTGTGGTAGCCTGACAGTGTCTCTCGCACTCGCCCACGGCACACCCGCCCACAGGGTCATTACATATACACACTTATATAAGAGAGAGTGAAAGAGGTGGTGTGTTACGAAGAACAGCACCGTCCATGTAGAGAGAAGCAGAGGAGCATCTGACAGTGGAAACCCTAAATTTGGGTGATTTGGATGACTTCTCACAGCACAATCCATGGCTTGGGTTGCCATCTTCTCTTCACACTGTATCCCCCTCTCACTCTCTCAACTCGGCTTCTGGCGGTTTGGTTTATGAGACCCAGGGCTTAACGTTTATAGTACAATTATACATGAATATATATATATATATATATATATATATATATATATATATATATTATACACACGCCAGCTAGGAATGTTAATAATCTTGATCGTTCTAATAATAAGGTAAAGAGTCTAAAGACCACTGACCTTTTCTGAGCTTTGTGAAATTACAGTGACCGAAAATATTCTAGTACAACATAAAAAAGTTCAACTCACCTCTTTTAACAATTCACCACTTACGGTTATCAAAGATTAAGATGGAATTACCACCATTAACACCATTAACAGCACCAAGGCAGTTAATTTTGGTTTTCAGTTATTGTTTAAGGTTAGGTGTTATTATTTGGGCCTGGTCCCTCTTGTTTTGCCCTTACTGGGCTTGTAATCCCTTACGAGCTGTTTGGCCAAAGGCCTACGATGTAATTACTTTTACATTTATAATATTTGCTTAAAATTCCCAAAAAAAAAAAAAAAAAAAAAAAAAAAAGAGAAGAAGATGGAATTACCACAATTATATTCTGATTGTTTTAATAATAAAAAGAACGAAGAAATCTGGTATTGCAGAATGAAATACCTTTATTTTTTTTAGTTGAATTATAAAATACATATATAACAAACACTCAACTCATATAATGTAATAAACAGTATTTTAACCAATTGGATTTTATTTTTTTACCTATTTTATATTATTATTAGTTATTTTATTATTTTTCTTTTGGTGATGTTAGCTAATTAGAATGAATCTATATATATATATATATATATATATATATATCTTGACTCGTATGACACCATATTTCGACAACCATCTTGTTGGTTATGTAGATAGGAAAAGGATTGCATATCAACCAAGTTTGAGTCTAAGCCTATTTGGATTCAGTTTATTTGTTTGTGGGTTCAGCTCGGGATTGTAATGAGATTAAATTCAGCTCGTCATTATTTTAAAAAATTCGAGTTTAGTCGGGTTCTAGTTGTTTGGTAGCAAAAGTCATCAGGACTCCATTTAAACTCATGTTCAAGATCGCTTGACTTGTTCATGAACATAAACGAGCCTATATAAATTTATGAAAACATATTCTTACGTCGGTGAACCATACAAGTTTAGAGTTGAGTTGCCTTTTTCATACAAGTTGGCTTCGTGGTTTTGTAGTTTGTTAAACCTTTGGGAAAAGAAGAGGACGGAGATGATTTATTGAGTTTGTTTGTGTATTTATGCTAGCACATTTGGAATTGAAAGTTGAATTTATGAACGTGCATATACGAGTTTATGTACGAGTTGAGCCAAATATTATTCAAGATCGATACATTTACTGAACAAGCCTAGAATTCTAACTTAAGTTTAGGGCTGCGAATAAGCTGAGCCATTCGCGAACTGCTCGGGCTCGGCTCGTTAATTACTCGGCTCGAGTTCGGTTCATTTATAATTCTGAGGCTCGATTCATAAACGAGTTGAGCCTGAACATCAGTAGGCTCGGCTCGTTTGTTCATGAACCGTTCGCGAACTGAGCTTGATAAGGCGTTCACGAACATACTCGATTATAATATATATATATATATATATATATATATATATATATATATATATATATATATATATGTTGGAAACGAGGCATTAAAAACATAAACTTTGGATGAGATTTAGAATAGATTCCGCTAATAATTTTTTGTGGATCTATAGATGAGCGCGTTTCTTTCTACAAGGAGATGAACGTGGTATTTACTTTCTCAAATTCGTTTCCAGATGAATGGGAAATTAGCTCCAAAGTATGGTGTTTTGATAAGCCTAAATGGGTATGCAAAATGTGGGAAGTGTTTGTCCTATATGGAAAAAAATGTTGAAACAAATTGAAATTTAAATAAGCAGAGTTTAGGATTTGGGCTTGGGCTTGGGCCTAATTGTAAAGTCCAGATTATTCTTTTTTGGAATTTTGGATTGGGCCTAATTTTGGGCTGGGCTTATTTAAATAGGTTTCACAAATGGGTGGGTTTTTTGGGTGGTTGGTTTTTTGAATTAAAAAATTACTTTTTAGTTTTTTTTCTAAAATGTTACACATTTTAAATTAAAAAACCATATTTTAGTTTTTCTAAAGGGTTACACCTTTTAAATTAAAAAACCACTTTTTAGTTTTTTCAAAGGGTTACACCTTTTTTCTGAACCATCACAACTCATGGTTGCACCCACTCGAAAAGGCACATTGCAACCTATTGGAATGGATGTGTTTATTGGTGAACAGACACCATGTGAACCATTGCAACCTATTGGAATAGATATGTCTAGTGGTGAACAGACGCCATGTGAACCATTGCAACCTATTGCAATGGTTGTGTCCAATAATGAAGAGATACACCTAATCCGGAAAGGCATTTCTGTTTCTATAAATACCCCATTTTGGATCATTTGCAAGTGGCTCATTTTTCATTTTCTTCTTTCTCCCTCTCTAGACTTGAACCCAACCTAAGTGGGTTCAAACCATAGGTTAAGTGGTCCGAACCACTTAGACCCTAATCCAATTTTATCGAGCCATATTAAGATTAGTCCGAACCATTTGGTTCGAATTGTACCAAATTCAGTATTTATATATTATAGATGCATTTTTTGAGTCAGAGAGAGTATTACACAGAAGAGGTTCGCCGTATCCACGAGTTTGTAGTGCTACTATTGGTGGATGTAGACCGTTGGGAGATAAACGTCACTGAGTCCGTTAGCACCATAACGGGGCGAATCTGTCTTCAGGATATAGTATCCAATACTAGCCTCGGTTCAGGTTCTTTATTTATTATTATTATTTTATTAATTTATCTTGCATATTTAATTAAATATAAAAGTTGCATATTTAATTAATGATTTCTTAGCATATTGTTAATTATCCCATGACATATTAGTATAAGGTTTGTTATATCTTA